AAAATCGAAGGACAACGTACACCAGTACCAGGTACTACAGCAGTGCAGTATGCACCAGCGCATTAGTGTAGGGTAGGCACCGCACCAAAGAGGCAGCAGAGGTGGCAGGCAGCCAGCAAAGGAAAAAACAACAATAACAAGGAGCTCGAGGCATCGTCCAAGATCATCGTAGAGAGGGCATGGAGAACAAGAAAGAAAGAAAGAAGAAAAGCACAAAGAGAGGCCGGAGGCAATACTAAGGTAGTAATCCTGCTTAAATCGATACGAAGTATACCCTCCAAACGAGCATGGTCTGGTACCTGTCTTGTGAGCATCGTCTGTGGCGCTTCTCCACCCTGCTCGAGCAGCAACTCTTCCGTCTCCGAGGTCCAGTGCAGCTGCGAGGCATTCAACACGCACATGCCGGGCCACTTCTGCATCCACTCGCATCGCCCGGAGCATAAGTAGTCCTGAATCGCCCGGTGCATGTGATCTCGCACCTGAACGTCAGAGAGCACCGGGCATGGCTTCTTCTTCATTCGTTGTGTTGTCTTCCGCAGTTCACTTGTGGTTATGGACGGGGCAATCTGCTCACGGGCACTGAGACAAGTTGGCGCATCTCACTTGCCTCGAGCCAGGCTTAGAAAAAGGCTAGGCAAGGTGTTGGCTTCGCGGGAGCTGAAAGATACCTCAGCTGCGGCCGTTGGTGTCTGGTGCAAAACGACGTCCTTTGTATCCACAATAATCTTGACGTTGGAACTTCCACGATAAACAATCGCGGGTGATTCCCCCCCCCGCGGGCAAGCTACAAAGGATGCGATATTGATCTGGAGGCTCGCAATACCCACGCCAAGAGAGCAGTCTTGCGAAGATAGTACGACCTTCAACAGCTACGAGAAGAACCCCCAGACGCCTTCATATTTCTGACTTGTTGAGCTGGATGCTGCGAAATCGAGAGTGCGCGAAATGATGTTTCCTTGGGCATTACGGTCGTAAGGCCGATCCGGACAACACCCCACTACAGTACCAGTGGTCAAAACTGTATCGGTCAGCACTTCCGTCCGCATGGAAGTATGGGAGCAGCAGGGTTTGCCTCTTCTTTGCTTCTATCGACATGTGCGGCCAAGGTATGCAACCAACTTCGATCTAGGCTCGTAGTCATTCATGCGTCAGGGCTTCTTTCAGCGTACCGTGAGTCGCATATTGCCCTCAAGCTCCAGCATCCAAGCCTCGACGTTCTGCCCTTTGGGGTCGATCGGTTCGATGAGCTTCAGCGACTCCCCCTCGGGAGACACCATGTGCGTTATCAGCAAATCACGATCAAAGACAACCTGTGGGAGGACATGAACGGCACACAAACATCGATGAGTATGATGGAAAACAAGACCAAGGCCATGTGCAGATTGAACAGCGTCGTGCCCAGTGCAACCGTCTAGGAACAAAATTCTATCGGAAATATAGCCTATACATGGTGGACAACGCGGTAACAAACGAACAAATTGACCCACAACACGTTAGCGGGCATTCACACCCTTCATCTCACCTTGTCGATGCCCTCGAAGCATTTTTTGAGGTGGGGCTGCACCCTGTGAACGTCCTTGGACTCCGACAGGATAGAGAGGAGCTCGTCGTTGGAGAGGAAGTAAAGCCGCGCGAACACCGAGCGCTTGGTCTCAAGGTAGTCACTTAGCCCTTTCTGGACCTCGTCTAGCAGCTGTGCCCCCTCCCTGAGCGGGGAACAGCATCAAGAACAACATTGGCAATCCGCCTGGCGAAAAATAGGAGTCAACACCGCCCAATGTTTCGAACACGCGAAGACAACGACGACAGCGACAAGGGAGGGTGCTCGTGATATCTATATCCCCATCTGGGCAGCAGATCGGAATACATGAGATGAGCGTGTACACTCACTTGAACCGCTCCAGCAGCTTGGGGCTGTTGCAGAAGTCGATCACCTTGCTGTTGCTCTTGGCGCTTGAGATAGTCTGTCGCCAGTTCTTGTCCACCATGGCGAACTTTTTGCCTTCCGCGGGAAGCTGTTAAATTGTTGTTCGTTTTGAGCAGGGACGAGTGACGGCACGAAACGACATGCAGACGTTTGCACACATGGGCAAGACAGATGGTATGTCCCGTCAGCGATAGATGTTTTACTTGGCAATATTTTCAAGTTGAAACCAAACAACCGAGATAATTGTATGCCGACACCATAATTTCTGGCAATCGCGCATGCAAGACCCGGTTGTTTCGTGCGGAAAATGATTATTAGGCAACACCCACATGTGAAGAAGAAATCCATCGTACAACCTACAGCTTGAAATTGCCTTGTGTGCAACCTACTAGGACACGTGCCATCTGTGATGTGCACCTGGGGACATGAACGGATCCTCCAGCACGCTAGATTCAGAATTTCGCACGCTACAGTACACAGTTGCCGTGTTTTCTCAGTCTCTCCTGTCGAAAGAGTCTTCCACAGCCACGCATTTTGCCCCCTTTAGTTTTCGTTTTTTTGTGCGACACGGAGAGAAATGGAAAGGGCTTTCTCATCTCACCTGCTTGTTGATATCGGGGCTTTCAAAGATTGGCTGAAGATAAAGCCAGTTTCGCTGCACCGACAGCCACGCTTCCAAAACCTCGGATACCTTGGAAAAGAAAGGCACCACAACAAGAAATCGCGTGAGAAGCGGTGAGCGTTCCAAGCGGGGTAATCCGCTGTCCTTTGGTGCACCACGCCCACCTTGTGCTGCTTCGAAGGAAACACTTCTCTGCAAGATCATTTAGTGTCATACCAGGCCAACGAACATGTCGTCGTCGAATGACGAACTGCGAACGCATACGCCTGTTGCATATCGCATGTCGCATATCGCATATCCCGTTTCATTGGCCGGTGGGCGACGTCGTCTCTGTACGGCAGCGAAAGCGCTTGGGATTCTTCGCGGTCCGATTTTTATTCAACTCGATATTCCTCCAAGGGGGAGGATGAAGGCTTGTGAGGGAGCTTTGCCAGAACAGAGCTGTCACAGTGCACCACGAAACACCAAGAAGATATTGTTACCAATGTTGAACGAGGTGTGATCTTTCGGGTTGTTCTGTGGTCAACACAGCCATTGCAAACTCACGGACATCTTGTGAGCCAAACCCCCCGCAGATTGAAACCGAACCATTCGAGAGAGCTTACTCGTTTCAGAATCATGTACACCGAGTCTGGTCACGGTTACCGTTTCCTGCACCGTCAACGACCACACTATCTGATGCCACGGATGTGACCGGCGTCTCAACAAAGCAGTGTGCTCCTGTCCCGATATCAGAGCGAGTACGGCCTAGTGGTGTGGCTCACCATGTAGAGCTTGCCGTTCCAAACGTCGATCCTTTCAGCGAATGGTCCCTTGAACGCCGAAAACTGCATCGCTTGCGTCATGGTCACCTAGGATCGAGGAACATAATATCATTAGGTTTCCCGGGGAGTGCTTGCGCCATGGCGAGAAAATGAGGGGGCATGACGATCACCATGGAAGTTTTCTACGACTAGACGATTGGCATCACCCACCCGATGTTGTGTTGCAACGAACCGTTGGGAAAATGTGGTTCATCCTTCAGGACACACCTAGGTTGCGGCGCCGGAGCACTAATTTCCCCAGGTTCATCTCTCAGACTACGGACAATCAATCGGCATGGAAGAAACGAGCCCTGCCTGGTTGCTAAACGAGACAGCAGAAAAAGTAGAGTGTCAGCGGTCGTGTACCATACTCATACAAACGCGAAAGCGCGTGTTCTCTTATTGAGCGCCGCGAACCTTCTCGCCAAATGCCTACCCAGCTTGCAGCTGGCGACTGAAATAAATTGAAAATCAGAAACTACAAAACCCGGACAGCGTGACGAAAACTAAAACAAAGAAAAACAAATATGTATCGGGTGTTTTATCTATGCTGAGTTTTGGGGGGGGTTGTGAAGGCAGTTCTATCATTTTTTCTATCCGCACAGCGGCATTCGTTCGCCACAGAAATTGTAACGAAAGCACCCCTATACCTGCTCGTCTAGTACGGTGTTGATCTCGTCTACTCCCTTGAGGATCCCGGTGCCGGTCTCGCGGTACCCCACGATCTCGAGTCGGCTGTCCTTCCATTCGTCTTCCATCTTAGTCAAGGCCTCCTCGATTTGGTACTCCTTTGCCGCCGATTCAGACACCTGTCGTGGGGGCGGCGAGGTTCATCCAACCGGTGTAACTAAGGTCACGTTCATTCGTCAGATATTAGCAACTGGAATGGACCTATTCCATAAGAGGTGAGCTTCGCCAACCTCCCGTCAATCATCGCCGCATACTCTGGCGCCTGTCGCGGACACACCGACCGCGGCGTCCAATCTATCATCGGCAACAACCTTGGTTCTTGCTGTCGGCTCCGTTGCGAAAAGCTTGGTGATCTGTGTCTCCTCCGAAAATGAGCCCCGCACCCGGGGCGTGGGAAGCCGCTCAACAGAGGACATCTACTGAAAACAGATTGTCCCTCTACACGTATCATCGTGTACCACTTCCATCGATAGTCAGAGTCACCGCCAACAGTTGACCGTGTTAGAAGCCTAACGCAGTCCCCAACCAAGAAGTAGTAGGAAAGACTAGAATCGAAGTACAGTTAACCAAACTCCCAATACGCCACCCACCGACCCAAAAATCCATCGGCGTTGTTCTTCTTAGCTACACAGGGTTGGGTGGATAAGAACAATACATGATATCTTCGTGCAAAATTAAGGCGGCCTGTTTCGTCAGCGCTTCAATCACGATCTTCGCAGACCTGCACTTGTCACACGTACACACCTAGGCACGATGGATCGTTCCTCTCTCCAAAAAAGGACATTGAGTCCCAAAGCCCTATCGCCTACCTTGTCAATCTGGGCCTGGTAAGGTTCGAGGTCGAGTTCCAGGAGCTCCTCGAGGGTGTAGTTCTCGTCGGGGTTCAGCGAGTAGCCCAGCTGCGGTAGGTAGGTAGCAGTTTTCGGTTTCGGGGGGGGTGTACTCATAGTCGTGCATACCGTAGTCGTTAGACCATTGACCTCGCATCCCTACAAAGCCGGGACGGAGCACGCCGGGTTCTCACCGGACCGGGCTCTCACATCACCAAGCGCGAAGCGCCCTGAGATATTCGGCGAGTCGCATGAAGGGTGCGCTGCATCCTGCTAAGGGTGTTCGGCATCTTGTGCTTACTTCCTTGCGTACGGATGACAGCTGCGTATGAATTAATTTATTTTCTGGTGCTTTCACTTCCAGAGACAGTTGTAAGCACTGTGTAACTGCCTCGAGGGTGCTTGACCATATTACCACGACGTGGTGCAATCACCCGCCTTGCGCGGAGTGAGGCTTCTCCACCCCGCACAACATGATGTACTCGATCACCATTATGGTTACCACCAAAAAAAGACAGAGGTAAGAAAAAAAACGGTATCCTGGTTGACGAGTTCACGAAGTGAATTGGCTTGTTTTACAACGTCTTTGCCAAGCGACGAAAACCCAACCCCGATGGCAAACACCGGGGGGGGGCGGTTTTTGGTTTCGGGGAAACGTCAAATGACAGGGGCAGGGGTAGGAGTTGAGTCCTTCGACCAGGTGAGCCCAACCCCGGCACAATCATGAGCGTCTTGTGAAGCCAACAGCCTTAGAAGTATCTTGGACAATAAAAAGTACAACCTTTTCATTCCTCCACACGTACGAAAGCCGAGCACTTGAGCGCGTCCGTACTCTAAAAAGCGCGCATTGCGCACAGCCGTTCGCTCGCTGCCTGTACACCCTCTTGCTATAAAAATTGTCTTCCACAACTTTCTCGACATACAGGAGCTCAAGGGATACATGCGTATATCACGCAAAATGGTTGGCCACATTCTTGCGAGACACGGTGCGTGGCCCCATAGAAGCCTCGTTTGCGCACAACGTACCTTGTCGCTCAGCTGCTCCCAGTGCCTCGGCTTCATGCCCGGGTTTCGTAGAGCCACGATGGCTGGAACCTTCGGCCGGAAGGCCGAAACTCTGTCCTTGATGACGTTGCAGATATTGCTCTGCGCCACCTTCCCGGTGTTGTCAAAAACGCGGGAGGCCTTTTGGATCGCCGTCCCCAGCCTTCGCGACAAACATAGTCGGCGAGTGGGTGGGCGGTGGGGCAGGAGGCGGGAGGCCGGGATCATCTGAGATGCTTCGGTCGTCATTTTGGCCGACGGTGGGGGCAGGGTGAAGGTTCGGTCGGCCATGTTGTTTGCTATGTGTGGACGTTCACCGTTTAGATAGGGCGTTCGACTAGAGATGGTGAAACCCTTTCTCGCCTTGACCAACCCCAAAATATGGGCCTGTCCATACCGCACCCCATCGCCACACCTTTCGACATCGGCCTCGAGAGTCGCCGCATCGATCGCCAGGAAAGATCCCTTCGTCCAAGCCTCGTAGCTGAGCGTCCACTCCTTCGCCGTCGTCCAGAGGTTGACGTACGGCTCCACGGCCTTCCGCACGCGGAGGATCTGATCGTACTCCGTGGGCGGGCGGCCAAAGAGCCCTTCCCGGGACTGGAACAGCCGAGCTGTGTGGTTTCGACATTGCGGTGGGAAAAGACTTGCTTGGTGCAGATGTATAGCGAAACGGATCGAGAGCATTGGACATGAAAGGCTAAAAACAACAACAACAACAACAAATACAAGCGCACCACGTAGTCGTGACCCTCCGCACCAGTCCCACGTCTCCAAAGTTAGCAACAATACAAAACGGGCTGTGGCTTACACTTGGTCTCCGCGTCCGTGATCCTGCCGGCTATCTCTCCGACCAGCTTGGAAACTCGGTCGACTAAGGCCAGGTCCTCGTGCTGCTCGAGCCCAGCCACCTCCAGCTCGAGGAGGTCCATCGTGTGCGTGAACCGCTCCTGCTCGCTCTCCATCTGGCAACACCACATTGTTTTGCGGCATATCATGTCACGTATTTTTTGCGAAAAGTGTTGTCAGGAGTTCATCTACATACTTCCTGCGGCTATGCCTGTCACCGCAACAAGATCAAACGTGTTTCCCGCACAACGCACACTAGAGATTGTGACACACTTGTAGGCCTTCGATTTAGCGTTTCAACGGCGCGAGTGAGAGAGAAGCTTGACATTTTCTTCATCACCGGACACTTGGCACCCACCTCCTCTTGGAACAACCCCCTGCTCTGCTTAAGAAGAGCCTCCGTGTCCTCGCACTGCTGGGCTATCCGCTGAGGCCAGGCGAAGGCCACCCACTTGTCGTTCGAGTGCTCCAGTGGCACCGCGTAGCTGAATTCTTCCAGGAGCTGTGCGTGAACCATGAGGGTGCGATGGGCGTATTCAGTCCACGAAGGCAAGAGAGCAAGCGATTCTTCCAACAAAATACTGCATTCCTCTCCCTCTCAAAGATGTGAACGTGTGATGGGGATTACGTTTGGCATTTGTTCACTAGAAGTCAGTTGTGTTCCCACGCACGTCAAACACTTGCACGGCTGGTTGCTTCTTCGATTCTTGACAGAAGGATACCGGATCGCCTACACCGCAATGCATGTAGACGCCATTGGGTACTCCCTCACGACACGAGGTAGCAGAGCCCGCGTGATGCCTCTACTGTGTCATGGCTCTGACGGTTGGTGGGCCGTAAGGTGCCGTACAGAGTCGCAGAATTCCAACGTACATACCATCCAGCTTCAAGCATGATGAGCGACAGAATGGGCCCGGACTCCGTACATGCCAATAGTGAAATCCGAATACCGTATCTACCAAGACGCTTTCGTGAGATCCGCCCATTCTTCTCCAACCAGCACTCGCCCACCTCATTGCACTCCATCATAGTCCCAAGGGCATCGGAAAGGGGCGCCAGGTTCGTGTCTAGCGTCTTCATGTACTCTTCCAGCTGGGCGACCTATTGTTGTTAGTTATTGAGATTGGGCTTTGTTTCTTCCACACAGATGTAGCAAGTGATAGAGTTGCGCCAATCAGGCCGTTGACGACGTTGCAAGGTTCTCCACACAACAGACGGACAGCGAAATGAACAGTACCGAAAGCTTCGCTGTATACATGGTTCACACAAGCCCGGTCGGTCAAGCGCCCTCCTCCTGGATATCTCTCTCGCTTGTGACCCCCCGTCGTTGTTCTTGGCCACACATACAAGATAGATCGCAGGAAACATCGTGGTAAGACGGTTTGCCCTCAGATCCATGTTGGCTGAGATTTTCAAGGACTTCCGGCCCAAGATCGTGTTGTTCAGGAAACAAATAGACGGTACAGCATTTTCAGGCAAGCCCAGCACCGAAATTTGTGCGAGTGATATTGCGGTCAGAAAAGTTTCGTGGTTAGCCACGTCTCTCTCTAAACGGGATGGGAAGGCACGAGTGCTTAGTACATCATTCACCTCCTCGATGTCCTTCGGCTTCTTCTGCAGCCATGCCAGCACCGACTGGAACTTGGTGCAGCAAGCGGACGCCAGCGTTTCGCAGTGGGTCTTTTGCTCCACCAGCAGCCGCTGAGCTATCCCACGGTGCTTCGTCAACAGGTGACTCCTGTTGCCATCGATTGTCGTTCGGCGTTGACTTGTATGATTTCGAGCAACTGACGAGCTCCAAGGCCACCACAACCGATATGAGAAGCAGAAAAAAGGTTGTTACACGGAGAACTGGAGTGAGGCGAACTCGGGTCGGGGCGACATGCAAGCTATACGATCGAAATTGATCACGTTAGGCCTACAGGGCATGTGTCGTTATTCTCTTGATTCCTCCACCACGACATCCGTTTCAAGGTGGTGTTCCCTCCTACCGGATGCTGGAAGGATTGACCGCGAATAGGCCGCAATCAACGGGACTGTTCGGAACGTCTGCGCGGATCTCGGTTTCAGCGGTCTGCGAAGGAAAAAAGACCACCGACAGCGGAGAGCAAGCGAGCAGATGACAGGTACGGTGAGGGTTCGACGGTACGCAAAACAATACCGCGGCCACATGTGATCATGGTGCCCCCGCCTGTCCCAAAGGATTCATGTTCACCGCCCTCCCACGGCAACGCCCGGTATTTCACTGAGGATTCGGGCCTCTGCTAGGGCGGCCAGGTTTACGGCGGAAACATCCAAGGTCAGCCCGCTATCCAGGGAGACGCTATTCAGGGAAAATCAAGAAGTGCTACGATTGGATACCGACTGGTCAGCCCACCATCCCAGGAGAAATGCTACCGACCGTCCCTCCCGCTCCCTAAATCGTCGTCAGTGTTTTCGGGCCGTAGGATACCTGGTGCTTGGTCAAGACCGCCCTGAGCGCGGCCAGGTTGACGGTCGCGACTCCGAGGCCCTCCTCGTCGTCGTCGTCTTCGCCACCCCCGCCGTCATTGCTCGTGTGGGTCATCGACGCCATGTACGCCTCGACGTCGAGGTTGAGGAAGTCGACGTACCGGTCAAAGAGCTTGAGATAGTCCTGCGAAGACGATTTGTGAGAACACGGTGGTTTCATGTGAGCGAACGGTCGTGAAAACACGGTATCATGCTGAGGGAACAATCGTAAGAACACGGTTTCATCTGAGGAAAGGATTTCGGGACCGAGGGGGGTTAGAGTGACCCCCGGGAGGGCGAGGGAAGCAACGCCCGCTTCACCACAGACGGTGCTGCGACTGACATAGTTCCTAGCGAACTCCCCGAGACGCCATGGACGTGAAATTTGTGAGCGTACAAATCATATTTGTTCTCAGCGGTATGTGCATCAGGACGTCTGCGCCGCTCACCCTTAGGGGAGCAATGGCGGCCTCGAGAGCTTCCTCTGCTCGGCCCCGAAGATCCACCACCCACGGTTCGTCCGGCCCTGCCACAGACATGAACTGTGGGTCTGGCCAGAAGAGGCGGTCCATCACAAATCGTTGCACCTGTACATTGCGAGCGTAAGTCGCAGGTTTTTTGGGATTGGGGCTAGACTTGGCGCTAGGGAAAAAATGTTGAACTAGAGCATACCTCGCTTACACGGCATCCAAGATCTCTTGATGTCCAGACATGCCTATCAACTGCGAGGTGGCTCATCAGGACACGGTGTGCATGTGGATGCGACTGTCGTCAACCGAGTAGTTTTTCGGTGGGTTTCAGGCGAGGACAAGGTAGGGGTGTCGGTGGTGAACGGGCTGCAACTTTAGTCAACACCGAGTATGTTCGAGCACCCCCCACCGCTCAGTTCCCAATATCGTCACAACAGCAGTAATAACGTCTGCTGTGGCGACAGTCGAAGCAACGATACCGTGTTGCTACACCCAAGCTTGACCTGGTGGATGCCGGCGACCTTTGCCAGAGTACCGTCGTAGCATCTCAAGGCATCCGATCGAAAGTCCTCGAGGGGCGTATCGACCTCGGGGATATGACCGCGCACGTCGGGCACCTGAACACCAGGAGGAATGGTGGAAAAGTCGAAATCATCATTTCAAGAGATAACGGCAACCTGCGGTCTCTTGGGGAGGATACACACACGAACGACGGCAGCGAGTGGCGGAAGGTACCAATGTTTGGTCGACCAAACCCAGAGGGAACCGATGACTTTCAACGACTGTGCTCCTCAGTACCCATGGAGGGTATCAGAGGCGATGGATGTATTTCCACGAAGCTCTTGCGCACATACGGTAAAAAACGCCACCTAAACTCTGACCCCCTCCACTGACGACAAATTAGGTAGAGAACCTCGTCCCCTGCCCCCCCGCCAGTTGCGTGCGCAGGGCGTTTGCGGTGTGTTCGTTCGTTCTGCACCGTCGCCTCAAGACCAAGTTCCGAGAGGAGTCGAGACGGGATGGATGAGGTCCGCAACACGAGTCCGCAGAGACAGTTCACCCTCGCTTGACATGGTGCAAGATCACAAATGTAGTTCAGCGGGTCGAGGTGCTGTCACTCTCCCCGCCGTTCTGCAGCCCGACTCCTGGCGCAAGGGTTCTTTCGTCGTGGTCCACTGAAAAACAATGGACATACCCATGGGGCAAGGCTGACGTCAAGAGACGTGTCAAATCCTATGTATGCGGGGGCTGTGCAACATTTCTGGACTAAGCCTTCGTTTTACTGGCAGATAGTGGTGGTCCAGGACATATCATATTCTTTGGTGACTACTGAGTGACGTGCACACCTCCGCAATTGGACAAACTGCGCCGTCCTCCCTTGATTCCGGCGATGCCCGCCACTCCGCAATCCGTCGCTCCGCCTCTTTCACTTCGGACACGTTCAGCACGTGTCTGCAAGTTTGATGCGGAAACGGACGTTTGGATGGGTCCGGTGACGTGGAAAGCTTCCCCGATTCCAGAGCAATTGTAGGCAACGCTCCCTGACCCTTCCGTAAAAAACATTAGCTTAACTGTTGATGGGCCAAGAGTGTCATCGACTAGACGAGGTCCTTGTTTGCAGAAAGGGGGGTGGCATTAAAGCTGTAGTCATGAAGATTCCGTTTGTTGGCATTGCGACAGAAGATGAGGACCGCAGCAGCATCCATACGACGGGGGATCGGATGACATTCACTCAGGAGCACCACCACAGAGCTGTTCACCATATCCCCATTGTTCTCAATAGCATTGGGACACGCCCTCTATTTTTCTGTTTTCAGGGTGTTGCTTGCTCTTGCTTGCGCTTTTGGAAGATACAGATACCGCGCGAGTACTGCAAGGGATATCATATCATGAGAGATTATCTCACAGAGGAGCTGGTCGCACGAGAAGAGTACATTCGACACCAGCAAAGGGGTCAGCACTCACCGGCCAGTTGATCGGACAATATCAACCTTGAACAGGGGAGGCGTCGTGCCTCTGCGCATGGCTCCCTCTCCTTGATCGGTGACTATGACGTCGTTCATATGCTTGACTTCGACCTGCGATAGAATGTAAAGATGTCAGCCATCGCTCAATCTCAAAGATGTGTCTTCGTCTTCGTCTCCGTCGTCTATTCTAAGTTGATTGTTGTCTCAATCAAGTGCCCGTATAAATGTGTGGTAATCGTGTGTATTTTGGCGCTTCACCTCACCCTAAATGCCCCCTTGGGGTTCATTTCGCAAATGGTGCTAAAATCCCGCCGTTAGTCCGAGCGTCTTCGCCTTATTTCGGCCTTTTCCACGATAGCCCCGTGGCATAGCACACCGGACATGCCGAGGGAAATCTTACATCGTTATCTGCTCAGGGGGAGACACAGGCATTCGATTTCATTCCAAGCTTCAGTCACCTGGCAGCTGCAGCACTTGAGCAAGTAGTCCGAGAACTCCTCCAACGTGCGCCGCGTCAGCGTCTGGTTAAGGCGGCGTTGTTTTTTGTTAGCGAGAGCGCGCGGCGAAGGGGTCTATCGGCTCAGTCACAGGCAACACATGCACAGCGAAATCGGCGAAAAGAAAGGCCTCTCAATTCTTCCGCGGGGGTATTCGTGAAGCATTGCAATCAATCGAGAAGTGCGTTTGAGGTGCGCTGGTGATTTCCTTGGGATCTTGGAACGCGGCATGCGGGATTAGCAGCAGCATCGAGTCGAATTGGCGGGGAGCTTCGACTCATTCTCTCTTCTATTTCTGTCCACGCTCTTGACTCGGGACCGTGCCTTCGACACAAACAATCAACAGCATTAAACGTCGTCTTCGACTTCATAATAAAAATATGGCTTGACAGATGTTCAACGACGCTGGACCCGAGGCAGCCGTATCGACAAATACACCCCTGAAGAAACTACCGCAGCCTGCATTCCTGCCGATAAAAATTCGCTGCTGTTGCGTGTTGCCGTGTCGTGGATGGAGTCCGCTCGGTCGAAATGCGAACGTATGAGCGGCCATCCCTGTAGCAGATATACTTCTACCTGACCAGTGGGTGCGCGCACTACCCGAAGAACACCGCCTATCCCCTGGTGTACTAAGAAGTTGTTTGGGCACTCAAACCGACAAGCCATCCACACGGGGGGCCGGTTAGTAGCTCTGCACGGCCAACAAACAACCTCGCAGCACAAGTTGCCAGAGATATTTGGAACAAAGGGCATTATACAATAAAGTAAAGTACTCACTCACCTGTAAGGCATCCGTCATGCAATAGTTCGCCCATCGCAAAAAACGTCTGATCTCCGACACCTCGAAGTTTTCCATCACTGAGATGGAGCTGTCAAACCGAGGTCGAGACAACGCATTGCCGCCGCCACCGCCGGTCCCGTCCCCGCCCCCCCCACCTCTACCCCCACCGGCTTTTGGGCTAGTAGCTCTCTGAGGAAATTAGTGTGATGGTCGCGTTGATTGAGTACGTATCGGGATTTTTTTCTTTTTTGGTCTTCACTTCAAATCAGCGCTCACAGCACTAGTGCCGTTTGCTCCGACCCATGGTCACACAGAATTAGCCCTTTCTACCCTCCCCTCCCGCGGTACGTTGCCTTCGATATTTAATTCGAGAAGAGATCAGCACTCTCTTCCTCCCGTGTACACACGAAGTAGCAACTAGCTTTATCCACAGGCCAGGAGCGGAAGCGGAAGCAAAACTCACTGTGCAACGAAAGCTCGCTTACGCCGGGATTCAAACCCCTGACTTGACCTCTAATAGAAGGTTCGAGGGTACCAACTTGACCACCGGGAATGTGTGAGATCAAATAATTTCGTAGGAACATCGGTGTCGAGGGAGAGTGGTCGAGGGGAAATGGGGAACGGGAAACACCGGACAAAGGCCAACCGCATTTTCGTTGCTACCTCCATCGCCTCAGCCCCCGCCACTCATCCCTCCTGCTGACCCGTCCACCACGTTCGGGGCTCGAATCTACCCAAATGTTCTTGTAGCTGGGACATTTCGATTGGCACGCTTAGAGGAAAGTGGGAGGAGAAGGGTGGCCCATTGTTGTCCCCATGCCTTCGGACAGGATGAACGCGTTGAGTGTCACGACTACGTCCACCATGCAACTCAACTAGCAACCCTGTACCTTCTGTCAAGGGCTCAAGTCCGACTCAACTGCTTCTCTTGTCGCCTTCGTTGGTTTGGAAATGGCCCCCTAAAATATCGCCTGGTCATGCGCTCTGAAGTTGTCGGGCCACTTACTCCAACGTCCCCCACAAACCAACCATGTACACCAGTCTCACCGCCTCCCCCTCCCACCATCACCACCATCACCTCTAGCACCACCACCGCCACCACTACTACCGTCACCGCCACCACCACCACTTGCACCATCACCACCACCGCCACCGCCACTCCTGGCTCTTCCCACCTGATCGAGCGATTGGGCTTCCGCTGCAGCTCCACCCCCTACTCCTGCTCGCTGAGAGGCATTGCCGTCCTCGGGTAGTTGCCGCCGCAGAGCGACGTGAATGGTCGACCCCACCCTCTGGGGCCACTCCTCCCGCACAACCCGCTTGGCGCGCATGAGGGCGTCCCCCTGGCAGCGCGAAAACGCCTCCAGCCGAAGAGGTTCCTGAAGAGGGAGTGTTTCACGTCACACCAGGGGACAACCGACGGCAGTTTTACGCATACAAAGTTGCCACAAGTGGGTGAGAGACAGCAGCAGCGAGGGTAATGTTGGCGTCTCAACGACCGTCCTCGAGCGGTCGTTTTCTTTTTAAGGGGGCTGAGTGCCACCACTTAGGCATCAGTTTCACGTCAGACGCCACGAAGCGTGGGGGTCGTACGCATCTTAGAGGTTTGTTGTCAATGCACCGCGCAGTACAGCTGCAGCCGAGGGGCCTCTACACGATTTCAGACGAGATGCCAAGTGAGTTTTCCAGACTGCACTATGCCAAGGGGAGCCATGTGCCGCCAGACTCTTACGGATCGCTCAAGTCCTCAACGATGAGCTTCGGGCTAGCCACCAAAGGGCGCAGCACCGAGCAGCCGAAACCTGTCACATGTCTTCACGTTTAAAACCTAGTTCGACGCTTCCAAGTAGCTTCTCTATCGTAAGGCGAAAATTCGGGATTTCAAGCCTCAAGGCAAAAAGTAACAATATCCGAAGAACTGTCGGCCACAAGCTCAATCAAGAGCGTTCAAATCCCCTAACCCCTGATAAATGGGCAGGAAAGGGTATGCAGAACACTTCAAATAAAACGCGTATCTAGAGTTCATCCCTCTACATCGGAGACTATGTCGAACACAAAGCCCACATTAGGAATGACACCGCATGTGAGAAACAAGGACGATACGCGCTGATACTATCGAGACTTCACGGTAGCATAATAACCATGAGCACAGCGTCTGGAGCGGGGAGAAGTTCTCACCGGATGGGTTGTCGTCAGGGCGCGAACGCCGGTGAGCCAGAGGCACTCGCCCGTCACCCCCGCCGCCGCCGCCAGCGCGGCCGATGACGTCATGAAGGTGGATCGTCGAAACACCTCAGAGACTCCTGGAAATCAAAACCCACGTCCAGAAACAAGTGGACAACGGGTGTTACTTTTCCTACCTGCGGGAACGCAGGGGGGGGGGGGGTACTCATAGTCGTGCATGCCGTAGTCATTAGACCATTGACCTCGCATCCCTACAAAGCCGGGACGGAGCACGCCGGGTTCTCACCGGACCAGGCTCTCACATCACCAACACCAAAGCGCCGTGAG